AAATTTCCTTCACTTCACGCTCAGTATATTCCCAAGATCACGTACATGGAGCAGTGGAAATTTATAAGTTGTGTTCAGTTTCAATATAGTTCACCCGATTGCTCAAACTGTTCGCTTGCTTTTTGCTTATTTTTATGATTTTTCCTCTTGTGTTTTGGACTGATAATATGCGGCCAGTTGCACCAGTGGGTAAATATTGTTCTAAATTTGCTTTCCATTGTATTTCTTTTATTCTACTGTGAATCAAACCTTTTTCTTTTAGTCTTTTGTGAATCATTAGTTGGATACGATTCTTAAGTAAATATAAACAATGATTTTTTCCAACAATCATCTTTTAATATTACGTTTCAGAATCTCCAACTTTACTCATATAAAAAAAATGATTATTAGGTAAAGCAAATATTAAGATCGTAGAAATTCCCGATTATTCCATTGATTTTATGTTACAATATATAACATGTAAAGAATTGTAGTGTTTCCCTTATAATCGGACGAGAAAACTTACTCTGCAAAACAACAAAGAAAATGAATACATTTAATGCATTCTCTATTCTATTCTAATTTGCTTCACTCCTAATGGCTCCACCACTTCTATCATACAACACCACTACTACCATACAACACCACTACTACCATACAACACCACTACTACCATACTGCTCCACTACTACCATATAACACCACTACCACCATACTGCTCCACTACTACCATACAACACCACTACTACCATACAACACCACTACTACCATACTGCTCCACTACTACCATACAACACCACTACTACCATACAACACCACTACTACCATACTGCTCCACTACTACCATACAACACCACTACTACCACACAACACCACTACTACCATACTGCTCCACTACTACCATACAACACCACTACTACCATACAACACCACTACTACCATACAACACCACTACTACCATACTGCTCCACTACTACCATACTGCTCCACTACTACCATGCAACACCACTACTACCATACAACACCACTACTACCATATTGCTCCACTACTACCATACAACACCACTACTACCATACTGCTCCACTACTACCATACTGCTCCACTACTACCATACAACACCATTACTACCATACAACTCTATCCCTATACCATACGCCACTACCACTGTTAACACCGTTTTTGTTAAATTCAGCCCACCCCGCTTCAACCCACTTCAGCACACTAAACCCCACTCCATCCTACTTCAACCCACTTCAGCCCACTTCACCCCACTTTAACCCACTTTAACCCACTTCACCCACTTCATCCTACTTCAACCCACTTCATTCCATTTCACCCCACTTCATCCCACTTCACCCCACTTCATCCCACTTCACCCCACTTCATCCCATTTCACCCCACTTCATCCCACTTCACCCCACTTCATCCCATTTCACCCCACTTCATCCCACTTCATCCCACTTCACACTTCAACCCACTTCACTTCAGTAGATAACAGCAGAACACAATGTCAGGAAGCAGTTTGATATCATTCTTTTATATCTCAATTATCTCACAAGTGGATCCGACAAGGGGTGGAGTTAATCAGTGAGTTATTGAGAAGTTAAATTGACCCACCAGACGACTCGAACAAGGTGTGTGTGTGTGTGTGTGTGTGTGTGTGTGTGTGTGTGTGTGTGTGTGTGTGGGTGTGGTGATGATGATATATAATGGTGATTGGTAATGATGTTGATAGTGTCTGTGTGATGGTGATGATAGTTAATGGTAATGATGATGTCTGGTGATGTGTGGTGGTGATGGTGATGTTGGTGACTGGTTATAATGAGTGATTCTTATAATAATGATAATGATAATAATAATGATCCCATCTTTGGTCAGTAAATTTATAGTCATTTTATGGATCCTAAACACGATTACAAAATAAAATAGTAATGGCAACAAAGCAGTTGTCTCTTGAGCACACACACACACACACTTTCATCCATTCATAATAATGGTTGCCCCTCGTGTAACGAGAATGGCCGTCCCAAGGGCCACCTAGGCGTGAATTTGTTTAAGGTGTAGAAGCTGTCACCAATACAACAACCAGAGTTAACGAGCTGCATGACCCAGTGTCAAGGAATAGTCCGAGAAGACCGGACAACTCGCCAACTGCACTGGCTAACCATTACCCCATAACATGATCCGCAAATCGATTAACATCCAGGTCCCCGATTATTGCTGGGTGGACAGAGGCAATTGACGTAAAGAAACTTGCCCATAATTTCACCCTGTCTGGTGATCGAACCCGGGTCCGCTCGCTTACGAGGCGAGCATGCTAACCATTATACCATAGGTTACCATAAATAATTTCGACCTTGCCAGGATACGAACCTGTAATCTTCTGATCCGTAGTCAGACGCGTTACCCATTGCGCCACAAGGCCGACACACACACAAACACACACGCACACACGCACACACACACACACGCACACACAAACACTTTCATCCATCTAGCCACACCTAAACACACACACACACACACACACACCAGGGAAAGGTTGTCACAGTATACATGTACAGTGTGTGTATGTAACCTTGACCCACCACTTACATTAAACCAGAGAGAGAGAGAGAAGGAAGCCTCACTTAATCTTGATACAATAAGTGTTTCCATCCTGTACACAAAACCTCAGCAGCACTTTACCGCCTCTTATCTACTTATAAACACTTAACATTACTTAACTTTACTTTACTTTACTTTATTTTACCTTATTTTATTTTACTTTGCATTACTTTACTTTGCATTACTTTACATTACTTTACTTTACTTTACACTACTTTACTTCACTTTAAATTACTTTATATTACATTATTTTACATTACATTACTTTACTTCCCTTTAAATTACTTTACATTACATTACTTTTCATTACATTACTTTACATTACATTACTTTATATTACTTTACTTTACTTTACTTTACTTTACTTCACTTTAAATTACTTTATATTACATTATTTTACATTACATTACTTTACATTACTTTACTTTACTTTACATTACTTTACTTCACTTTAAATTACTTTACATTACATTACTTTACTTCACTTTAAATTACTTTACATTACATTACTTTACATTACATTACTTTACATTGCTTTACTTTACTTTACTTTACTTCACTTTAAATTACTTTACATAACATTACTTTACTTCACTTTAAATTACTTTACATTATATTACTTTACATTACTTTACTTTACTTTACTTCACTTTAAATTACTTTACATTACATTACTTTACATTACTTTACTTTACTTTACTTTACTTTACTTCACTTTAAATTACTTTACATTACATTGCTTTACATTACATTACTTTACATTACTTTACTTCACTTTAAATTACTATACATTACATTACTTTACATTACTTTACAATACTTTACTTTACATTACTTTACTTCACTTTAAATTACTTTACATTATATTACTTTACATTACATTACTTTACATTACTTTACTTTACTTTCCTTTACTTTAAATTAATTTACATTACATTGCTTTACATTACATTACTTTACATTTCTTTACTTCACTTTAAATTACTTTACATTAGTTAACTTTAATACATTACTTTACATTACTTTACTTTACTTTATTTTATTTTACTTTACTTTACTTTACAGTGCATTACTTTACACTACTTTACTTTGCATTACTTTACTTTACATTGCATTACTTTACATTACTTTACTTTACATTACTTTACTTTAAATTACTTTACATTAGATAACTTTACATTACATTACTTTACTTTACACTACTTTACTTTACATTATTTTATTTTACTTAACTTTACATTACTTTACTTTATATTGCATTACTTTACATTACTTTACTTTACATTACTTTACTTTAAATTACTTTACATTAGATAACTTTACATTACATTACTTTACTTTGCATTACTTTACACTACTTTACTTTACATTATTTTATTTTACTTAACTTTACATTACTTTACAATACTTTTCTTTACATTACTTTACTTTACATTGCATTACTTTACATTACTTTACTTTACATTACTTTACTTTAAATTACTTTTCATTAGATAACTTTACAATACATTACTTTACATTACTTTACTTTACATTACTTTACATTACTTTACTTTACTTTATTTTATTTTAATTTACTTTACATTACTTTACAATACTTTACATTACTTTACTTTACATTGCATTACTTTACATTACTTTACTTTACATTACTTTATTTTAAATTACTTTACATTACATTACTTTACAATACTTTACTTTACTTTTCATTGCATTACTTTACATTACTTTACTTTAAATTACTTTACTTTAAATTACTTTACATTACATTACTTTACATTACTTTACTTTACATTGCATTACTTTACTTTACTTTTCTTTACTTTATATATTATGTATACGGAGTTATTGAGGTGTTTGTATATACGGTAGCGAGGAGGGGGTGAGGGTGTTGGTGATTGGAGTTATTGATTGAAGCAATTGTTGGTGATTGAAGTCAGTGTTGATGATTGAAGTTATTGATTGAGGCAAGTGTTGGTGATTGAAGTAAGTGTTGGTGATTGAAGTTATTGATTGAAGCAAGTGTTGGTGATTGAAGTTATTGATTGAAGCAAGTGTTCTTAATTGATTGCAGCAAGTGTTAGAGATTGAAGTTAGTGATTGAAGCAAGTGTAGAAGACCGAAGTTATTGATTGAAACAAGTAATGTTGACTGAAGTTAGTGATTGAAGCAAGTGTAGAAGACTGAAGTTATAGATTGAAGCAAGTATTGGCGAGCATCATTACCTCTCAGAGATAGATAGAGAGATAGAGAGAGAATAGGTGGATAAATAGACGAAGGAAGGACAAAGGGAGGATAGAATAAAGAGGGAGGGAGGGAAGATAGAGGTGGGAGGGGCAGGGGGCGGGTCAAAGTAACCACTACGACCCTCACAACCAACCAACGCCAAGGAAACGAACTGAGGGGGTGTGGGATGTTGAAGTCGAGAATCTGTAGCGTAGTCAGTGTGTTGCCAGCCGTCGGTGAGTGAGCACGTCGCCCCTGCCTCTCGCCTCCCCTCGCACGCGTTCTTGATCCTGGGCCGCATCTGTGACGTCCTCCTTATACCCCCCCCGTCTTTCCTGTCCTTGTCTTCTCCAGTGAATTATTATAAGAGTGTCGGTCTAGTTCTTTATCCCAGTGACCTCTTAGCTCGTTGACCCATCTTTTGACCCTAGTTTCTTCCCACATCTGGCTATAGTTTTTTTTTTTTACCCCAGGTGGCTCCTGCGTATGTGACCTTAGTTCTTGATCCCTATTCTTGACCTTAGATAATGCCACCCTGACCCCTAGCAAGTTCCCATCTTTGACCTCTCCCTAGCTCATGATCCCAGAGCCTTCGATGTGCACACAGGAATTGGGAGACTCACGTGAACGCGACAGAAAAGTGTACACAGTTGTCGAAGTTGTACACATAGTAGCTGAGACTTTTAGACAGTCACGTTAAAGGTGTACATAGAAGAATATGAGAGGTGTACACGGGAGCTGAGAAGAGTACACAGTTGTTTCAAGGTTTACACACTCCCCTTAGAGGTGCACATAAGCTATCGTTAAGGTGTGGACAGTCTCGGCAGGTGTACACAGATTATTTTTAAGGTGTACACGGCACCCCAGAAGGTGTACAGAAACTATCCAAAGGAGGTGTACACAGGCCCTCTAAAAGTACACAAAGACTATATCTTCAAGGTGCACACGACAACAGAAACGCTCACCATCGTTCAGGAGGCAGAGTACATAAAGGTGCACACGGACTGTTCTCGGGGTGTACACGGCAGCAGAAGCGTACATCAGGAGGCAGTGTACACAGGGATGCGGGTCGCCTACATCACAGCAGTGCTCTTTGTCAGCTGTATGTATGTACTATGTTTTTGTATTGGTGGGGGAGGGGGGTGGTGGTGGGGGAGGAGGGGGGAGGGAGGGTGGGGGGAGGGAGGGGGTGGTGGTGGGGAAGGAGGAGGATGGTGGTGAGGGTAGGGGAAGTGGTGGTAAAGGGGGTGACCACACACACACACTGGTGACCACACATACATATAAAATCTATAGATACACACTTATGCTGATGCTCACGTGTGTGTAAATATACGCGCTCATGTCCTCTCTTATTGGGTTATGTATGCAGTCATGGTCATTGATGCACACACACACACATACACACATACACACATACATACTCACACACACACACACACACACTATTACATTTCATTATATATATGCATTTTAAAATACCATGTATCAAAAGTGTGTAAATGTATGTATGTGCTGTATGTATGTATGTATGTATGTATGTATGTATGTATGTATGTACAGTATGTATGTATGTATGTATAAATAAATAAAACTTTCCTCGGGTTAAACAAGCGTAAATTTAATTAGAATCATATTAAATCAGACCCGCTAACGTTAATTGCAACACAACGCCTCTCCTCCTATCACAGTAGTCATACGTAACGTAAAGTAACGTAACCTAACCACACCTAACCTAACCCAAACCTACAGTAACCTAACCTAACCTAACCTATCCTCACCTAACCTATCCTAACCTCACCTAACCTATCCTAACCTCACCTAACCTATCCTAACCTCACCTAACCTATCCTAACCTAACCTAACCTATCCTCACCTAACCTAACCTAACCCAAACCAAAAAATATTGAAATTTACTTTACATTAAACATTGTAAATTTTCCTACAGTGAGTTCTGGCTTTACCGAGTGACAGATACGTAAGGTAAAATATGTTCCCCTTAACCCTTTGATGATGATGGTTTAACCCTTTGATGACGATGGTTTAATCCTTTGATGACAATGGTTTAACCTTTTGATGACGATGGTTTAACCCTTTGATGACGATGGTTTAACCCTTTGATGACAATGGTTTAACCTTTTGATGACGATGGTTTAACCCTTTGATGACGATGGTTTAACCCTTTGATGACGATGGTTTAACCCTTTGATGACGATGGTTTAACCCTTTGATGACAATGGTTTAACCTTTTGATGACGATGGTTTAACCCTTTGATGACGATGATTTGATGACAATGGTTTAACCTTTTGATGACGACGGTTTAACCCTTTGATGGCGATGGTTTAACCCTTTGATGACGACGGTTTAACCCTTTGATGGCGATGCTTCAATGCTTTGATTGACAATGGTTTAACCCTTTGATGCCGACGGTTTAGCCCTTTTATGACGATGGTTTAACCCTTTGATGACAATGGTTTAACCCTTTGATTGCGATGTTTCAATCCTTTGATGACAGAGTTTTAACACTTTGATGACGATGGTTTAGCCCGTTAATTACTATGGTTTACTACTACTACTTTGCTGTCACTCGGAATCGAGTATGACGATCATTCAGCTATGATACAATGATATGGGTTATTAGGGATGTCACCTTCGTTGGTGAGCTCTGAGGTGACTAAAGAAGCCGATACGGGACCGGCAGGGTCGTCCACATGTTGCACGTGTGGAGGGCTACATGTAGTGCGGGAGGGGCGGCGGCGGCATCTTTCCAGCGTTGGCGCTTGTCTGCCTCAGTATGCAGTCGGGCTAACTCGAAAGTATTGACACCTTCTCGTGTAGTGATCCTCCAAGCGTTACGGTGTGGAGTGATAGTCTCCCAGGTGAGGGGGTCGATTTGGCACTTTTTCAGGTATGTCTTAAGACTATCCTTATACCTTTTCAGTTGCCCCCCCGGCGTTACGTTTACTATTCGTTAGGTGACTGTAAAGTAGCTGCTTTGGCAGGCTACTGTCGTCCATGCGGGTAACATGGCCAGTCCAACTTAGTTGTTCATGGATAATGGTAGCCTCGATGCTCCTACGATTGGTGCCAGCAACAATACTGCCCTGACTATGGTTTAACCCTTTGATTTCGATGATTTAACCCTTGGAAGAGGATGATTTAACCCTTCTGGACTCAAAGGATAATTTCTCATAAATATTCTTACGGTAATTTTTTTTACTACTACTACTACTACTATTACTACTATTATTTTATTTTTTATTTTTAAAGTGGCCTCCAGCCTCCCCTAATAGCCACACCTTTGCCGTCATTTTATTACCTTAAAATTAACTATCCTAATGCATAAGTAGCTACCCTGGCTGTGTTGAGTTAGTTGAGCCGCACTTTTATGCGGCATTCAGTGACTGTTGCCTCAAAGTCGATATCTGCGACTGTTGTCGGCTTTGGGGCCGATGCTTACGTTCCCCTGAGGCAAAGCAATGCAGACCTAAGCAGAGAGGACAGTCGACATCTCAACCAGGCTGTAACATAACTTCTGGGCTGCTGTTTCCGTTCAGATAACACCTCCGAGAGTCTGGCGTAGAAGCGTCTTGCACTTGGTCCCATCCCGCCAGAGGTTGTGAACACCAGAGGAGTGAAGCTGCCTTGATCAACGTTCTGATTTCTCTCCCCATATGCCCTGTTCTTGTAGTTCTCGTTCCTCCTGTGTGCAGCATGGAGAGCTAGGTTGCGGTGACATGCGGCCATGGGATCAAGAATCCGTATGTCAAAAAAAGCTTGCTGTCCCCGCGTCCAGAATCCTCGACCACTGACGTTCACACAGGCTTCGTTGGATGTGTTTGAAGTCCAGTGACGGAGGTTCTCACCGTTCAATGGAAGGAGGGGCGGTTCCACCATGACGTCGTGGCAGATTTCCCTCAGCAGATTTGCTGTTAGATCCCTTACATCGTCATGCCTCATACATACGAAGCCCCCCTTCTTGCACACCATGGCGTGGTCGATGTCATAAGATGAGCCGCACACTCATTGGGAGGGCAAACCTTCTACTGGCCTACCGTACCTGAGAGCAATGGCATCTTTGAATTCTTGTTTATTAAGGATGAAGCCTTTTGCCTTTATCGGTAACGTTGTTAACCAGTTTGAGGCGCCCACCGCCTGCGCTTTCGCTACTTTTCTTTTCACGTTCTCTGGCACTTGTTGCAACAGTTGTTGCAGTTTATCACTTTGGGTGTGCTGCCGCTCTGTCGTAATGGACCTTCGAATCTTGTTTAATTCGTAGGTATCCACCTGACCTGCTGCATTCTGATCTATTACGTGCTCAGTGAGAGTTGCCGTGAGTTTGACAGAGTTCTGATGTTCTGTACGGGTAAGCTCCACTGGATTAGTCTATCCCACTCCTAGTCTCGGTGGTAGTGCAAGGAATGGCCTTTTTGCTGGGGTTAAGTGAGGGTTTTTCACTAGTGTTGGGATAAAAGCAACATTAATGGCTTTTTCCAGAGGGCGTAGGAGGGGTCCGACATTAGGGATAGTGCGCATCAGGTAATTCCAGCGATGTTTGACTCCATGGGTGAATGCCGCAAAAGCCGCATGTGGCTCTGTTTTAGCAATATCAGACAGAGCTTGAATTTCCTTAACCCACTCATTCACCTTTCCCTCTATACGTACTCGGTCTTGAAGTCCTTCGTGCCAATTACCGCATCTAGATGTCTTTGGCCATCCTTTGTTATTTTGACCTCACTTCCACCGAACACCTCCATTGCCCGTTCATAGTGTTCTGGCTTCACACTGAGGAAGGGCTTGTTGGCGTTTGGGTGGTACCCTATTTGTGGACCTGTTGATGTTACCAGGTCCCACCACTTTTTGATGTCCTCCACTTTTCCTGCTCCTGTAAGGTCATCAGCGTATGCCACTTGCTTGACCTCGATTGTTTCATATTTTATTGTGTGTTGGAGCACAGACAGGCCCAGCGCGTACAGTGCCATGGCAACAGGGTCCCCAGCGTTGTTCCCTCAGTTGACTGTAAGGTGGTACCTCCACTTAGGGCCTTGAAGCTTGGTATAAAGAGGTCTGATGGGTTCCTATAGGTGTTTTCAACATACATTGCAAAGCTTGGACACTTGATCTTAATGTTGTGCAGTGTAGCCTTGTGGCTGAGTATGTTGGAAGCGTCGACTAAAAGTACTGCCTCACAATCACGCTGCTCAAATGCCTTTCTCATGGTGTGAATGGCAGCTTCCTCTCTAGCCTGGTGGCCAGTACATAGTTACAGGTTCCCTGCAGCTGCCCTGTCATCATCATTTACCACCTCCATTATGCATTTTCCAATGATCCGCCTCAGCACTTCCTTCACTCCTATAGGCCTACATCCTGGATTTTTATTCAGGGGAATGAGGCGGCAGGCCGTCAGAGCATGGAGGTGGTGGCAGCACTAGGGTGCTAGTTTTCTTGCAAGGGCGGCGATGGCATTGCAGAGATCACTTGCTACGGCACCAAACTTGTTAGTGCTGAGATGACTCTCCAACCGTTTGCATCCAGGCCTGAAGGGCCGGCTCCTCCCTGAGTTTTCAGTGCTTTTTTCCACACCATCCCTCCTGTTATTTTCTCGAACATGACAGTATTAGGAGGGATATAGGCTCGCTGGAACCTGATGCCTTCCTCTTCACTTGCAAGGGGATGTTTTTCCTTCAGTTGTTGTAATGTCTCTCTGTTTATTGGCAGGGCACCACCGGAAAAGTCCTCTGTGAGAGATATTACCGCCAAGGACACTTTTCCCTCACGCATCTTGTTACCAAATTTTCTGGCAACATCCTCGGTGTTTTGCTTTCCGTCTTCTATGAATTTTAGTCTCTCCTGCAGTGTTATTAGATCATCAAGGGCCCCAATCTGCCACAGTGTCAATCTTCTCTTCATTGCTGCCGCATTTTCTTTGTGCTTAGTCTTTGTGTGTGTGTCCTCTGACAGAATAGATGTGGTATTATTGCCACTACTATTACTACTACTACGACTTCTTAGGTTAGGGAAGGTGAGGTGAGGTTAGATTAGGTTCAGTTACTTTACATTAGATTAGGTTAAGTTAGGTGAGATTAAATTATTGTTAGGTTAGGT